CTCTTTGTCAATCAATTGTGCATTCCTTTGAGCAATTACCACAATTTATTCCACCTCGGACGCACCTCGCATATTGGAAACATTGCACACAAATTATTTTTTGCTCCTCCGAAGATGGAGGTTGTATTTGTGTGTCTATAAATATTGACAGGCACAGGAAATTTGTTCACAGATGCAACCTTGAGCAGGTCAAAACGTTGCACTTGTGTGACATAAAATACACCCAGGGTCTATCAGATGTTAGTGGTATGTCTTTACATTACATTTTTTTTCTACCATTATTTCAGTTGTGAAACATAAACATCAAAAGGCTTTTGTTTCACTAAAATGTACTATGATGTGATAAAAGTGGTGTTACAATAAATATAGACAAAATAAATATACTAAGAGATATAGATACATTATAATATAAAATATAAACTTTATATATATATATATATATATATATATTCAATGTTCATTGTCAATGGACTGTCTTGTCTTTATTTTCTCAGAGAAATTGCTACATCTAGTGGACAGTTAAAACAGACACTATAGGCCTACTGGATAATCAGAATGTTGCCATTGGTACCAGGTCAGCAGGACTAAATCACTTATAAAAAACAGATGTATTTTACACAAATAAAATACATCTGTAAATAGCAGCATCTAGGAAGCCAATGACGTTTTGAAGCCACTGCATTTAAAAAAAAAAAGTTGGACTTGAAGATCAAAAATGGTCCTTTATCAGTATTTAGTCACATAATATTTACTACTGTCATTAGCACTGCAGTCTTTGTACGACGCAAAAGGCCTCCAACTCTTAACCTTCCTATTGCATTCGGGTCCATTTTGACCCGGAAGAGGTACATCATTTTATTATTTATTATTAAGATTAATTATTTTTTACTTAAAATTTTACAAAGATGAGATTTGTAAATGTGTTAAGGCTGTCAAAATACACATCATTACTTATTTATTTTTCCAGACTTTTTTGACAAAAAATGTAAGAGATGTAACCATTTAAACTAAATTGTTACACTTTTTGCGTTTGGGACTGTTTTGAGTGACAGCTTTATACAAGAAAGTATGCTGCTGTTTTATTATGGATCTATATGTTAGATTTGTCTACCACGAATTTTATTTATCGTGCCATTTATAAGCCAAAATTCGTTTTTGCGTGCATATGCAATGTAAACCCCTTGGGTAGGATTAGGGGTGCGGAGTGCGTGCGTATTACACACCACAAACTGCTAAAGTTAATGAGCTAATTATGTGATTAATTGAATGATTATTGACCATCATTGAAGACACCTGATGTTAACAAGCAGAATCACTGAAGGAGAAAATCTCATTTTCGAAGTCACCATTATGGTGATCATTGTTTGCTTTAGTTGGCCTCTTGACCCTTAAACTATTAACATTAGATTTAGTTTGGCTGTTGTTACTGAGTTACAAGAGAAAAGGTGATCGGGGGTGTTGGTTATGGTTTGACATAATCATCGTTTGACCAGAATCACAAAACTCATTTAGAGCATTAGGTTTACCTTGTTGATTACAGCAACACTATAATTCTATAGCAAACGTTTTTCAGCACTTTCAATATAATCCAAAATATTTCTTAAAATTTGTTCTGATCAAAAGAGTTTGAAAAATGTTTTTATTTAGACACACTGACATCAATAATCAGCCTGTGAATCTCAACAATGGTGACAATAAAAAAGCATGTTGAAGTGCATTATGGGCTCCACCAATTAAAACTCATTCATGGCTCCCATCATGCATTGCAGTATGAATAAATTATGATCTGAATTGTATTAGTAATTTCCTTTTCCTAATTGAATATTTTGTTTGTCACCATTGTTGAGATTCATACACTGATTCTTGATGTCTGTGAGTGCCTAAAAGAAAGATTTTTTTATCAGAACAACTTTTAAGAAAGCATTTGAATAGTATAAAAAATTCTGGATCTTACGCTGTAGAATCACTGTGATGCTGTATTGCTGTATTGTGTCAACAATATACATTTAAGTCAGAGATTAGGCTCTAAATTAGTTCAGTGATTCAGGTCAACTGATGATTTTGTTAAAACATAACCAACACCATCAGATCATCTTGTCCCTTTGTTCATCTGGCAGTTATAACGCTATTACAACAGCCAAACAAAATCTAAAGTAAAAAATGTAAGGGTTAACTGCCCAACTGAAGCAAACACCGATCTCTATAATGGTGACTTAAAATTGTGATTTTTCACCTTCAGTGATTCTAACATCAGGTGTCTTCAATGTTGGTCAATCATCACTCAATTAATCACTTAATTATCTCATTAACTTTAACACTGCTTCAGTGTTAATTTAACACTCTTGAGTGTGGAGTCATATAAACACCCAGGAGAGTTAATTTAACACTGGAGTTTTGCTGTGTACATTCACACACACATTTGTTTCCTTTCCACTGGGGCTGCAGTTTGTTATGCTTGCGCATGCACACACAATAATTCTGAAATAAAAATAAAATGACAAACAAATTAAGGTCTTAATGTGTTTTAAGCAAAAGTTCATAGATCAAATAGTCTAAATTTGAAAAAGGGAAAAGCGTTTGAAAAAGAAAAAGTTTACATTTCACTTTGCTGTTAACTATTGATGAACCATTGCAGCATGAAGAGGAGATTCAAACTGTTTATCTTTTTTTTTAATGAAAGTGAAAATTTATGCAAGTCAAATTTAAATATTTTGTTTGAAAACATTACGATGTTGTTTTGTTAGAAAAAGAATACGTAGGTTTCATAAATTTAGACTGTTTTGAGCAGTCATGAGTTATAAGTTTTAAATGAATGAATTAAAGACAAGGGAGTTCATTATGGTAATTCTCATATTATATGTTCATATAAATTTCATCTAATGATATATTTAAATAACATTTCTCTTTTATTGCATCACCCCTTTTGCCGCAGTTCCTGAAATATTTGAAATTTCAAAGAATGGTTATACTTTATTTTAAGGTGATGTAGCCTATAGTTACATTGCTTACATAAGAACTGAGTAATATTAATTAGCTATGTACTTACAATAGAGTTACGGTTAGGGTTAGGTTAATGGTTAGTTACTTGTAATTCTGCATAATTTACTGTTATTACTATGGTAAGTACATGTTGTAATGTGTAACTATGGCACTTTAATATAAAGTGTTTCCCAAACAATTTCTTAGCTTTTTTAATTAATAAAAAGAGGGTAAATTAAGTAATAGCATGGTAAAAAAAAACTTTCAAACTTTTGTGCATTCACTCGTTGATGAGAAGTTACTGATTAGATAGAATATGGTTTTAGTTTATATAAATATTAAGTTGTGACTTTTATAAGCTTATAGAGCATATGGAAAAGCAGATATTGTTGCAATGTGCCAATTAGTGACTTTGTTGTATCTATTGTAATGAATTAATGTGTTTCAGTTAAATTATAATATAAAATGATGCTAAATGAGTTTTTAGGGTCAGTGAGAGGCAATTATTTAGTAAATGGTCCCTTTTTTCTCTCAGGCTCATTAAATAACTTGAAGTGCTACATGAATAAATACAATAAAAGCTCCTTTTTTAGACCTCCCTGCTCATAGTCACTGTGGATTCAATGGACTGAACAGTCAGAACAACTTGGCATGAGGATCTTTTGAGTTTCAACCAAGATGAAGTGAAACTACCCTCTCGGGTCACATGCCAGTTTTGTGCCACAGAAAGATCTGTTATCAAACTAATGTTTTAAAAACAAAGAGATGGAAATGGACTGTGAAATGACTGCTAATTGTGACATGGGTGTACAGTAATGGGAAACACTTTGTTGGTGCCAAACAATGCCACAGTTAAGCAAGCAAAACAAGGATGAAGCCAACCAATCAAGTAATGTTTTTAAGCTCTCATACACCATTTCACACTGGTGGAGTTAAACTTGGAGGGTAAGGACAATTACTAAAGGGTCTGGTTGATGTAGATCCCGGCATTCACAATCAGTTAAGGCTCAAAGTCAAATTACGATACAAAGCCAAGGGTATTTTTAAAAGGGTAGACCAAGCGATGAAGACCTACCAAGGGACATGCTAAGACACGGTTGGTGTCTATGGAAAATAAGCAGTTGTGTTCAATCACTCCGTCTCAGGGAGTTTGACTGAAGGGGGCTATTATATCGGGCTATTTACTGTGATACCCCACATATATGTAATTACACCAGTAGAAGATTATAGATTATTTCATGGAAAGTCAGCGATACAACAAAGCCAATTAATCCATCATAAATTACATGCAACATTGAATTTCTTAGAAATGCATCAGGTCGACACATTCCTTGGTCGCAGCACACAGAGAGATTTACGAACTTCAATACTTACACGGCTAACCCAGTGTTTTAGTGCGTCATGTAATGACACCGTTTAATTAACTTTCCTGGGACCACCAGCATGAAGAAAGATCCAGAGGTCAACCAGCATTTCCACTGATTATGAGCACAGACGCTTAAAACAAGCCTCTTTTCAGCAGCTCAATTTAAAAAGCATTAGCAATCATGCGACTTGAAGCGTGAGCTGATCTCTTAAAACACCTCAGAAATCTGAGCAAAAAAAGGTTTAATCTTAGTAGTTTTCCCTCTAAAATTTCCAATTAGGAAATGAAAAAATACACAGGCCTATTGGTGTAACTCTAAATCAGCTCATTCTGTAAAATCAAGTGTAAAATATGTTACATTTGCTTCTCATAAACATTTGAATTGGGATTCATTATACAAAAATACTTTATTCTAAGGCTATGTTGTAAAATCATTCATATATTTGACTTTTTCTTTAGTGTGACTCACTATATTTTAATCCAAAATATATGGGTAATATGACATCCTAAAATGCCCTGGATGGAAAGTTACTAGAACGGCATTTTGTGACACTTTAAAATCGGAAAACTCAAGCCTGTTTCATTCATTTGTTCTTTGTGGTTTCCAAAGTAGATTAATGTCGCAAAACTGTAAAATAGAAATGAACACAAAAAGTAATCCGGTGCATTTATAAAACCTAATGACAAGCCCTGTTGATGTGTCAAACCTACTAATGTCAGTCCGGCAGATAAACCAGAAGTGTTTCCACGAATAATATTGATGCAATAGTTTGTATAAGATCCTCTAGACTGGCTCCACAGAGTAGCCGTCTTTGGACAGAGGACACATAGTGTAACCCACCGGTGTGGAGTATATTCCTACAGGTGTGAAGGGCAGCATGTGTCTGCTGAAAGGGAAAGACTGTCCACACAATAGAGCTGCAGTCTGGGCTTGCGTACAGAGAGGGAACGGTAGAGTGAGGCCAGGATGCAAGATGGGTTTGCTGGTCATTTTGAGCCTCTCCAGCTCTGCCTCCTGCAGTCGCTTAGCCTTCGCTCTTCGGTTCTGGAACCAGATCTTCACCTGTGTCTCGGTCAGGCTGAGAGAGCTGGAAAATTCAGCGCGTTCTGCAATGGACAGGTATTGCTTCTGGCGGAACTTCCGCTCGAGGGCCAAGAGCTGCGTAGTGGTGAAAGGGGTTCGGGGTTTACGGTTTGTCTTGTGCTTTCTGAGAGTGCATGCTGAGGGACTCGGTGGACCTGTAAAAGAAGTTCATAAATTAGCTTGTAAAAGACTTGGCAATAAACAGCTCGGGCAGATGACTAATGTGCTTTAACACAGGGGAAACTACAGTGTGTACCAGATCAACTCGACTGTCATGTAACACTGTAAAATCGAATTAGTTAGACTTACTGTAAAAATGTATATGATCAATAAGTTATGACAACAAACAAAAGTTTTTACATAGCTTTAACTCATCAAAATTAGTTAAGCAATTTTCAACTTTTTTTATGTTATACAAGATTTAACTTTTTTTTAAGTCAGTTTAATGTGATTTAAGTTTAAATGACTTAAACAGCCAAGTTGATTGTACTTAAAATTTTAAGGCAGCAACTTTTTTTAATAGTATGGTGTATTGACAATGCTTAGTACAGTTTTACTGAGTAAACAAGGCATAGGTGAATAGCACAGATTGCTATAGCCAATAGATTTTTACAATTACGTAAGTAAAGTTATCTATAGAACAACTGTTGGATTTTACAGTGTATTGATCCATTTAAAATGCATACTTTTGCAGGGCACTGTTCCTTGTGTATTTCCTATTATATCTGTTTTTTTTTTAAATTATTTTAATGATAAAACAAAACAATTTACAATGAAGACATGTGGTTAAACTGCTAGAATCACTCACTAAAAATCACACACACACACCAGTTGATTACATAAATGGCTCCGAAAAAAGGCTCAATTATTGTTTACAAGATGCCACGTTGTATACCCTAATGCCATGCAGACACTATAATGTTATGACTTAGTGTCAAAATAGTTTTTTTCTAACCTGGTGACTTACGTGGTGATGTTGATACTCTGTGTTTATTGATCCAGGAAGAGTCCTCTTTGACAGATTCACAACGTTTGGAGGAATATATCACGGATCGATCATCCTGATTTATTATGCATGGCATCCGACTCAGTTCCTGTGAAGTTGATTCACTCCTTCCCTTCTTCGACATGAGGGCTTCGACGCTGAACGGGAGACTTTGCGTGCGAACCAAACGCTCCGGCGGAGATGACCGTGAACCATGGTCATCATCATCTTCATCGGAGGACACTTTACCTTTATAATTAGCTGAAATCATTCCGCGTAAAATAGCGATATCTATATTCCACATGGAAATATGAGAAAGAAGCATTAACCTGTAGGCTCGCTCTTCGTTGCTTAACTTTTACATGACTAACAATAACTTGACAAAAGTTACAAGACTATCCAAAGTTTGAACCAATCACCTTTCAGTCAGAGGCTGCGTCTAAACCCCAGAGAGCCGCCTACTTTCTGGTCATCCTGAGACACAGAATGAGTGTTTGTAGGGAGATGAAGCGTGATTGCCTCTTCAAGAGAGAGATCCTTAGCCGTTAAATGATACTCGGAAACAGGTTATATTTAGACCATAATGTGGTGTTTATAGTGGGGGAATATAAAACTAAAATTAGACTTTACGTTTTTCTTCAAATTACTCTCGCAGCGATAATTTGTAGGATAAATCAAACTTGTCACATGAAGTCAGAAAAATTTGGACACTTGTTTGGTAATATGTGTAAATAAATCTATTCTACCTACACTATAAATGTTTTGTCTCTTGAATCTCCACCTATGGTTTTTGAAGGAATACGGCTGAATTCAATTTTTAATCTACAGCTGTATTCAGGTAAATTGTGACAACAATAAGTTTTAAAACAATATATCTTTTAACAATTAGGACTGACTCAAGTTTTAATGGTTTTAATATTTTATTTAAAAACAACGACAACAATTTATTAAAACCTAAATATAGCAACAGCAAAACCTGTTAACTGATCACATTTGTGACATACGTTTGGAGGGGACCAAATGTTTCAGGCTAGCATGTAAATTACAGTAATTATATTGTTGTTGTTGCTATTAACACCTTGTAATTAGGCTCCTGGAATCCGGTTCTTTTTTACCAGGATTTAACCGTAATACCGGAAAATTGCTACCCTCTCAAGGTGTATGGCGCCCACTCATATAGCACAAGTCTGTCAATTTAAAGGCTATGAACTTTGTTCTGCTTTGTCAGAGTTCACAAGTTAAATGCTGTGGAATGCACTGAAAATCAAATAGAAGTTATAATGATGGAAAAGGTTTGAAAAATATGCATTTAATGTTAGGATCTTTGCTCAATCAAATCAAAGCAAAACAAACTTAACAAGTAACTCCTTTTTTACCCCACTGCAGAAGTTGCACTGCACTCAGTGTGGTAATTATTTGATTCCCAGAGAATGCAGAAGTACAAGTCAGTCCTGTCAAAACTAACACTTAAGTGTCTCCACCAAGTCTGGGCTCCTGCACCATTATTACAGCTCTCCAGAAGAGTCATACTCTGTAATCGTGACAGGTTTAATTCTGTGGCAAAGGTCTTGGTTTATGGCTTCATTAAGCTTTATGAATCACTGTGTTCACATCACTTGCGTTCTATACTTAAATGCTTTGGGAATCATTTTAGCATTCACCTTTACATATTCCCCTCTGTAATAGCAGTGATTAGGGTGCACTCCTGGGGTTAAAAATCAGGCTAATTTGTGTTCTTTTGTGGTGTCTTTAAAGTCACTTAGAATGTTAAACTAGAGAATTAAGTGGAAGAAAAAAAGAAGTCATTTAGACTAGCAGCAGGAACAGCATATTGTGCTCATTAGTGGTAAAAGAGAAAATGTCAAGAAAATGTTCACTCCTGCCAATACTGTCACATAATATGTAATACGTACAGGGTCAACACTGGAGGGAATTGAACAGATAATCCTCGACAAGGATTTGGCTGCTGTGGCCTGTGGCGCTGTGGACAAGGCAGATTGTTATACAGCGTGGGCCAAAAGGAATGATTGTTACAGAATTGCTACATGGGAACACACACCAGGTGGATTGGAACAACTGGTCAGATATTGGGTGATTATGATTTGATTAAAGACCTAATTACATATTTCTGTGAAAAAGGAAAAAGAACACGCAGTCAACAATAAGCAAATAAGCAGTCAAAACAATAAGATTTGACATAAACTGGCATTGCTACATAGTTTATTCATTTGGAAGCAATGCTCACACAATTTGGTCTTCATTACTTTTGTATATAAACATGACATGAACAAAAGAGCAAAGCATGACAAACTAAGACAAAACTACAATGCCGAATATATGTTAAACACAACACAAGTTTAAATGTGTAGTACTGGCACTGCTCGCTTATTTACAACATGCTTTACAGTGAAATTACTTTTTTAATTGTTTGGCCCAGATTGCTTTTGAGGGTCAGTGAGCAAATTATCGTAAACAACGTCTACTTCTATTTCAGTAACAAATCCATGTTAGAGAATGCACATGATGATATGATCACTTTACCAATCAGTTTTATTGCTTGCTTTGGCTCGTAATTCAACAACGGACCCCAACTGACACTGGACACAAAGCGAACTGCATCATTTTAAGTTCTACACGGTTCAGCTGGATTGAGAAAATACTGTCATTTCATACCTATAAAGGTTAAAGGATGTTCTGAATATATTGCTTGACATTTTATACAATACATTTTATAAATGAACACAAAATGAATCCTGTTAGTTGTACTGATTAAACCATTTAAGGATCATTTTGTACCAGACTGCTGAATTAAAATTGCTTGGGAACATAATTTGCACATAATAGTTACTTGCATTCATTTAATCTCCACAAATGGCCATTTCTTAAAAAAAAAAAAGACAAAAGAAAAGAGAGAGCAGAAGCCAAGAGTTCAAATAGCCTTATTCAATGTGAAATTATGTAAATATACAAAATTAAAGATTTCAATTTGGACCTCATAACAATTTCCCAGTTCAGTGGCTTTAAACCTTCATCTCTTCTCATTAAGCTACACTGAAATATAAGCAGACCATTATGCACAATTCATGTCCCTGGAGACGGAATATTTGATGTGGCAGACAACCCCACGTTTAGGGGTGAGCTGCACTACGGGAACATTCAGTTCATAAATGCAGCACAATATCAAAGTTGACCCCATTTTTCAGATTCTAGAAAAAACCACCAGATGAGGCTCTTCACATGGCTAGCTAGTAAGAATGACGTTCAGCACAATTGCGCGCGGCTAGCTTTCGCTTGATAGCTCTTTCCATTAGACCCCATACGGAGAAATATGCAGTGCCAGTCAGGAAGGTATACTACACTATGACTGAACTGCTGTTAAGTGCGAGCTCACATACCAATAGAGCATGCACAGTGAGCCCAATGTCTCTGGCACAGCTGGACTGCCTGTCTGTGTCCCACTCGGCTTAATCTGGATCCAGGTTCTTATGACACACTCATCAGTGTAAAGCGCTTGAAGGCTTCTTCCTCACACCATTCTATTTCCTCAAGGCAATATGCAATTATACCTGTGTGCTAGAAGTTAAATATGACAAAACCATTTCTGGGGAAAGTAAGATGTGATTTTGATAATTTCCCCAAGAATAATTTTGGTGTGGCTTCTGAGTATCAGATTTAGAGGAATTCCTAATAGGAACTTTTATCAGCTGTCACACGAGCAACTGGACTCCGTGGTTGCTTCTACCAAGGACTTTTTTACAGCATGTTTTATAATTCAAGAGGTAGAGGACATTTTAGTGCTCTCTGTCACATAGTGAATTAAAAGCAATAAAGCACTGGTTAATGAGATAGACATCAGCCATGGTCAGTGGTTCACATTTATTATATGAAGCCTTATTGTCTGTGCTCTGCTGTATATCATTCACAATCAGGAATTTGGTCATGTTGAGCTTGGCCTCAACAAAGCACGGACAAGACCACATCACAGGAACTACATGTCCTGCGTTTCTCAGTGGAATACACTTACAGGTACACTCTGCAGCACAGTAGCACCAGTCAATTGTTATTGGTGGTAATAACGCTGTTCGAGCAGCATCTACAAAGTGCCTATGCATTCACAATATCTCCTCCCATGTGCCTCAAACAAAGAGCCTACTAATTCCAGCTATTCACAGGGTGACATTTCATTAATTATGGATGCTGTCGTTAAAAGGAAATAAGCTGTGAGGCAAAGGATGTGCAAATGTAACATTAGGTGTGTGTGGCAGTGTAAAGGCGAGTCATTGTCTTTGTGCTGCTTTGTGTGCATCCTATACCACATCAAGCCTGCGCAAAGTTGAGAGCAAAGACCGAGAAGTACAGAGATTTGATCTGTCTGCTGGAGCTCATTTATAACATAATGTGTCATTAAACACAATATATTCAATCTGAAGTGAAAAAAAGAAAAGACCAAAAGATTTATGGTGATGAAAATGAAAAACTGTATTGTTTTGAAGTTCAATGAGCCCTTTGAAGCAAAATTCAAAAGGAGCCTAAAGCAGGGCTGATCACAGAAGATGCTAATCTGCTGCCCAGGCAAAACATTATTCACGTGATTTATGGCTAAATTAGACATAAATATAAACTGAATAAAATAGTTGTAATTGTCATACAGCGTTTGGAAATTGTGTACATTGATGCAGTGTGGTCCAATATCACTATCCCATCCTGCGAGAGATAATTTGTGTTTTCCCTGCTTATCCGCACATCATTACAAAAAATGACATTAAAGCTGCAGTAGGGAGTTTTGAGAAAACGTTGACTTAGCCTGAAAATTTGAACAAGCACAACTTACAGGTCCCACCCCCTTGCTCTCTGCTGCGCTACAGCCCTCCCTCCACAGCTCGTCCTCCACAGCGGAGCCTGTCGTGAACGCGCAGGCTAGTAAACACGGCCACCGATAACAGCGGATAAAAAGTTATATGGCACATTCACTAATAGGGACTAAACGTCAACAATATGCTTTACATTGACTATGGCCTGCCCATACTTTGACTACAAACTTGGTCCTCAAATCATTATGTATTTTGCAATACATGTAACTTTATAACGTTGCACTCTTTCTATAAGTTATAAATAGCTAGTAAGATAACGTTAATATAACGGTAACGTTACAGGATATAAGTAATTATTCTAGCGATATATAATGCTAGATAAGGTGTGCTAGTACATTATTTCAGCAACATGACAAGCCAGTGAATTAGCAGGTTCATTGTTGCTTAGCAGAGTGCGTGACATTTTATCTATGTTATGCAGCTGGAGTTTTGACACGGAGTAATTCTTTCTTTTTCGCTTGTTTATCGTCATCTGTCTTTTTCCTTTTACCTCTTTGTTTCACTCGAGAATTGGCAGTTTAGGTTGTTTCTCCGTCATAAGCACAGCTGCAGCACGCCGGCAATCTTGAGTTTGAACGACGGCTC